TCTCTCTCTCTCTCTCTCTCTCTCTCTCTCTCTCTCTCTCTCTCTCTCTCTCTCTCTTTCTCTGTGTGTGTGTGTGTGTGTGTGTGTGTGTGTGGACACACGCAAGCTCGGATCCATGGGGGGCCCCTCGTGTTGTTGACTACTCTACTGCACTCCCTGTCAGCCTCACTCGACGCTTGACCGCTCAATACTGCAACAGTAATTCTGCAACAGGCTCGAATGGAAATTGCGCTGTTTGTCTGGCAGCTGCTGGACTATGTACTTGTTGCAGTTCCCGTTCTTGGACTTCCTGAACCCGTACTGGTTCCCTGACTCGCCGGCCGCAGTTTCCCTTTGATGCTTCAGGTCGTTGCCAGTTGTTTCTTAGGACTGAGTTGCTGTTCTTGTACTGACTGTTGGTCAGACTGACAAGGTGGAATGACCTGTCGGATTGCTAGTGAAAGGGCCAACTGCACTCTGCAGCTGCTACCCGTAGAATTGGGTCGATCGGTCGGTACGCACATCCGACCGTCCATTGCCCGCTTCTGGAATCTGTCCAGCCAAAAGCTACAACATCCCGATATCTTTGTACCGTAGCAGTTCAAGCTATGTGAACCAGAACAGATCCCCTGCTATGTGAACCAGAACAGAACCCCTGCTATGTGAACCAGAACAGATACTACCCTAGACCACACTTAGACAAACGGCTAAGATGACAAGAATCACAGTGAATAGATAACAGATCCCCTCCTATCCGAACCAGATGGGGCACTACGATCAAGCCCAGTACCCCCTTTCTAACCGGGTCCAGCGTCCCTTACATAATTTTCTCACACAATGCTTCCCTGAGTTTTGGCCGGGGGACCCTGAGACAGCAGCATCGATTGTTTCCGAGGAAGGAAAGACGGATTTAGTACCCTTACTCCACCCCTGTTCCTCCTAATCTGCGACTACTCCAGGGACTCTCATCCGCGGATAAGGTTGATCTAGTAGGGTCGTATCAGAATAGATTCTACTATTCACATAGCTATGTGAATCAGAACAGATCATTCCCATCCTTATCGCGGGAGATGCTTACCCTCTCTCGGCTATCAGAATAGATTCCACTATTCATACAGCTATGTGAATCAGAACAGACTATTCCTCGTCCTTATCGAGGGGAGATGCTAATCCTCTCGTGTCTATCAGAATGGATTCTACTATCCACATAGCTATGTGAACAGACTATTCCCCGTCCTTATCGAGGGTAGATGCTAATCCTCTCTCGTCTATCAGAATGGATTCTACTATTCACATAGCTATGTGAATCAGAACGGACTATTCCCCGTCCTTATCGATTCTACTATTCACAGAGCTATGTGCATCAGAACAGACTATTCCCCGTCCTTATCGAGGGGAGATGCTAACCCTCTCTCGGCTATCAGAATGGATTCTACTATTGACACAGCTATGTGAATCAGAACAGACTATTCCCGGTCCTTATCGAGGGAGATGCTAACCCTCTCTCTGCTATCAGAATAGATTCTACTATTCGCTGTGACATAGCTATGTGAATCAGAACAGACTAGTCCCCGTCCTTATCGAGGGGAGATGCTAACCCTCTCTCTGCTATCAGAATAGATATTAGATTCTACTATTCACATAGCTATGTGAATCAGAATACTAAAGACTATTCCCTGCCCTTATCGAGGGGAGATGCTAACCCTCTGTCAGCTCAAAAAACACATCATTCTCATCATGATGGTCTTGTTCTTCATCTTCTCATTCTCTTCTTATGTGTTGCATAACTTGCATTAGTACTATGTCTTGCTCAGTTGCGATTCATTATGCCCGTTGCGAGTTTAAGCATGAGGATGCTCTGAGCTTCAGGGAGTCGGGTGCAGTTTACTTCTGTTCCTGGTCCAACTATTGTACTTGGTACATACAGACCATATGTTGTACCTGGTCCAACTTTTGTACTACATAGTACATAGTTCATACATACTTCTTTTGTCCTTAGCACATACTAAACATACCATATTTGCCTGCTCGCGTTGCTTGCAGAGTACCCTCTCCCTCTTCGCTGCCTCTTTCGCCTTTTCCAAGGCCAGACTGAAATCGCCCTGAAAAAATGAAAAAATGAAAAAATGAAACAAAAAGGGAGTTCAATGTTCACCAAGCACCTCCTAGCCTCTTGCAGACATAAGTGACAATCACATTTTCCAGAAGGGGATGAGTTCAAGGCTACAAGCACTCTCTCTCTCTTTTATTCCTTTTTGTGTAAGGGCATAGCTCCTAGAGAAAGTGAAACTGTGAAAGTGATAGGGCCTCCCTGCACTACTCAGGAAATGTGCAAAATGCGAATGAATCGTCCTCTAGAACCTGGGAAGATGCACTGCCATGTTTTTTTCTCTCTTGTGCATGTTGTGAGTAGTGTAGCGAGGCCCATAGACGGACGCGCAAACTATCCGGCACAGCATGAGGATGAATCAGACAAACTAATAAATTATTCACCAAACCAATTGACACACATTCATCATGCACCGCCCGCACAAAGGTCGAAGCAAAACTTATGAACACGCATATGGCGCACTCCCGAACTTCATAGTTTTCATCTGATTCACGATAAGGATTCCAACTCATGATGTGTTTGTTTGTTTTGTTTGTTTGTTTGTTTGTTTGTTTGTTTGTTTGTTTGTTTGTTTGTTTGTTTGTTTGCGGAAAAAGCCCTTGTGTAAGCCCTCTATCCCGGCGGTCGTAAGAGAACCCTCAGAATGGACAGCTTATCTGTCGGGCTGCTCCATCTCTCTATTGGTGGGAAGCGGCACCTGCTGGAAACCGGGTCCAGCTGTGTTCGTTGACCGTTACATGTGTGTAGCATTCAGCGACATGGGCGCTCGGCATTTCTTCACGCACTCCCATGCTTCACAGTGTCCTTCTCTAAAAGTCTGGATGTGTGATGCGAGTGTGTGAAGTCACTGAAGTGTGATGCTTTCACCTTTTTTCCATCTTGGGTCTGTCGTCGCTAACCAGTCCGGCGAGCAGGCAGTCTGTGGGCCACAGCTGTCTCCCGTCTTCCGGCCTTCTCCTTGTCAGCCTTTACACCTAAAAACTTCTTCGACAACTTAAGACCGCCTCCAGGCCTAGCAACAATGCCACCTGTGCGTGCCGAGGCGAGGCCATGGCCAGGTTTGCCCTATACCGGGTGCAAGGGGGCTATCCGTGCGGTGCAAAAAAGTTTAATTACCCCAACTTGAGTGTTTCAATTCTCATCTCCTTGGACAGAAAAAAATCAGGGGAAAATATATTAAAGAAAGGAACTAAAGAAAACACATCGCATCAAGGGGGCTATCGGGGCGGTGCAAAAAAGTTTAATTGCCCCAACTTGAGTGTTTCAATTCTCATCTCCGTGGACAGAAAAAAATCAGGGGAAAATATATTTAAGAAAGAAACTAAAGAAAACACATCGCATCAAGAAGGTCCCCCTTGAGGCATGCTCTGGCGAGCCTTGTCTTTGTAAGTTTGTACCCTACGGTAGTCTCCTGCTCCGTACCTCTTCATTCCTAGCCCCTAAACCCTTACTCCCCCCCCTTGAACCCTGTCTGTAAACTACTGTAAGCTTAAACCCTAGACCTGATCCCCCTTTTTGTAGCTTACTGGGGCCTGTGTAGTCGTTGACCCTTCGCCTGGTGCCCAAAGCTGGGTATTGGCCCCAGATATCTCCCGCCGGTTGTTTGTGGAGGAGATCTCGGCCTCCTTGATATTAAATGAAATAAAAGCAAGACCTTTTTTATTAAAAAAAAACAGAAAAAAGTAAAGAAAACAGCAAAACGAAAAAAAAAGAAAAAAAAACCTATACCGCTTGGCCTAGCTCAGTTGGTACACCCATGAATCATTGAAACACAGACCCATGTTCGAATCCCACTGCAACCAGATGACCAGATATTTCTGAATTGCCTGGGGCCGGTCAGCTCAATCCGCAATCATGATATCTCAAGATTGCCGAGAAGGGGGGGAAAAAACGAACACCTGTAAAAAAAAAGATCACAAACTGAATGCAACGCCCTATGGTTGTTGCCCCTCCTCGCTATGGCCTGCTAAACTCGACCAGTCAGGCTGGGAAGGGCACGGTAGGAGGAGTAATTTCAGGCTCGAGAAAATGAGGTCCGTCAAACTGGTGGTTCAATTCTAAAATAATTTGAGATAAAGGCACTTTGCCAGCTGTCTTTATTCAATCCTATAAAAAATTCCTATTTGATGCCGTTGTTTATCTGTGTCGCTGCCTTTACTTAATAATATTTAATATCCTCTTGCTGTCTCTCAGTGTCCTCCTTGTTTCCTTGGTTATCTTCTCTGCCGTCTTTACTTTAATTGTCCTCTTCGTTTGAGTCGTGGGATGGATTGCGTATAATAGTGGTGCTACCAGGATGGGAGAGCACGGGATGGAGCGCTGAAGGGAGTTCCTTCTCATTTACAATTGCTGAAAAATCCAGCAGACATTGATTCGTTGTTCATTCATTCATTCATTCTTTGACTATAATCCTTAGCAACAAAGAGACAACAAGGAGAACGAGGGTGATGACGTGATGGCGAGATGAGGGGGAGGTGACATCGAGAGCTTCTTCTTCTTCTTCTTCTTCTTCTTCTTCTTCTTCTTCTTCTTCTTCTTCTTCTTCTTCTTCTCAACCTCCTCCTCCTCCTCCTCCTCCTCAACTCCTTCTTCTTCTTCTTCTTCTTCTTCTTCTTCTTCTTCTTCTTCTTCTTTCTTCCTTCTTCTTCTTCTTCCGTCTTTCTTCTTCTTCCTCTTCTTCTTCCGTCTTTCTTCTTCTTCTTCTTCTTCTTCTTCTTCTTCTTCTTCTTCTTCTTCTTCTTCTTCTCAACCTCCTCCTCCTCCTCCTCCTCCTCCTCCTCAACTCCTTCTTCTTCTTCTTCTTCTTCTTCTTCTTCTTCTTCTTCTTCTTCTTCTTAACCTCCTGTTCTTAATTCTCCTGGTGCTCCTCTTCCTCCTGTTGCTGATGTTGCTGTTGTTGCTGCTGCTGCATTCATTGGCCTTCCGTGTCAATGGAATCAGTTGAGATATGGGGTGCGATGGGGGATCGAGGGAGGAGAACCGACAAGGTCATCTTGGATTGAGCAGGTGGGGAGGGAGGTGGATTTGATTTCACTCTTACAGCTAAGCTTGCAGATGAACTTTCTTCAAGCAGCTGGTGAACTTTCCTTTCCAACTCCTTGTGCTGCTCTTCTGGAGAGTTGTCCACCTTCTTCTGCAGAGGCGGCGCTGGCCCTTTCGCCGCCTGATTGAGAGGGTCAAATCTGCTGCCAGTCTAACAGAGAACCAAGGGAACCATTTGCACCATAATTGCAATCACAACCAAAAAAAAAGAAAAAGAAAAAAAAGTCATTTTGTAAACTTGCTAATCAACTCTGCTCCCAGTCTAACAAACAACAGCAAACTAGAACAAACAAGAGAGCCTCACAGATCTCCTCTCTTTGTCGACAGCAGAGATCAGATTTGAAGTTCGGACTCGTGATCTAATTATCAGAAAAAACGTTTAGTGGCAAGGCTCTTCAACCAACTGAGCAGGAGGCAGAAGGATGATCGCATGATCGCGATACTGGTGTCACATGTGACATGCCCATGTTCTCGATGATTTTTTTCACTGTGAAAGTAAAAGTAATGCCCCGATCATTTTGAGTTCAGTTTGCAGTAATTGTTGTGTATATTCAACCAATCTCCAAGTGCAAGGAAGATGAGCAATAGCGAACTTCAGAAATCAAGCAGCATCATACACATGAGACCAGATAGTCGTGACCTCGAACCAATAGCAGAATTGCATCACGAGTTTCACCAAATAAGAGCACACCAAAAGCTCATAATTGACAATGCTGGAATAGTCTCATCATCATCAACAAAGAACCAATGTTGATATCCTATCTGGCGCTCGGCGCCCAGACTACGAATGGCAGATCCTATCTAGCCTAGACTACAATGCCGCTGATGACGTCAACAGCTTCCCAAGTACGAGCAGATCTCGGCTAATGCCACACGCCTCAAGCACCAGGTATGTCTTTCGTATCACTCACAACCTCGTTCCCCAACTCACAGATGCCACTTGCACCCAAGGACCACCATGCACCCCATCCAGCATACAGCAGCGCACCTCGGCTATGGCTGCCCACTCCTTCCAGCTCGCCCGTGAGCGCGTGAGCCTGGGCAGCGTTAGCGCAGCAGCACTTGCGCAGCATGCAGCCAGTGCCCGAATGCCCAATGTGTGGGCGGGCCCTTCCCTATATCGAAGTGGCCTGCTGCTGCGTGCTGTGCTGCAGTACTGGGCCCCGGCCCAGAAGCTTCCGGTAGGCCCAGGGAGGCTGAGCCTCAGTCCAAACGAATCAGACCCAGGCGGCCAAACGAATCAGACCCAGGCCACCGACAGTTACCAGTGTCTAACTGCCCATAGTCTGAGTTGGGTCCATGCTGCGTATCTCGCCCAGGGCCTGACTGAGATACATTCGATAAAGGAGGCCAGGGCCTGGGCGCCTTCAACCAACTGGCGCTGCGCAACTGCCTGAATTTTACCCCAGTTGCGAAGTAGTCCAAAATAGGCCTCTTGTTGTCTGTCGAGCCTGCCTTCACTTAGGGCGGCCGACCTGTTGCAAATAAGGGCCCGGTAGGGCTTATCGAGGCCTTGTGCCTCGCACAAGGAAGAGATGCCCTGTTTTTTTTCTTTTTCTTTTCCTTCTTTTCTTTTTTTGCGAGAATTCTGGATGCTCCAGTCTATTGGTGGGGAGCGGCACCTGCGGGAAAACGGGTCCAAGGAAGAGATGCCTAAACCAGAAGAAAAAGGAAAAAGGCACAGCAAAAAAAAATGAAAAACATCCTTTGTCTTGCCTTGTTAATTGTCCCGGATAATTGTCTTAAAATATAGGCTACCAGCCAGGCCGCCCGGGTCCTGTTTTCCTGGGCGGCCCGGCCGTGTAAGGACCAGGGAAGATGCCAGCCAAAAAAAAAAAGAAAAAAGAAAAGAAAAAAAACACACGAAGAAAAAAAAGTATGTTATGCAGAAACATAAACTGAGCACTTTTGCCTCAGGGCCACATCGAAATTCTTTACCAAATTTAAAATAAAAAATAAAATAATGTTTTTCTAACCTTCTTTTATTTATTTTTTTTGCCCGGCCGGGCAAGTGGTCCCGGACCACTCTGGTAGCCTAGCTTAAAGCACCAGTACACCACATATCGGCCTGCGGATGTCAGCATGAAACCGGCGCTAGCGGTTTAAAATAGCTTATAATTGGTAACTCCCGTCCAAACTAAATTTTCTTAAATTATGCAACCCAACTCCTTTCTGCGAGGATTTGGCTCCTCAGCAGGCCTACAGGGCCCCCTGTCTACAAGTGTGCCCGCCCTAAGTGAAGGCGGGCCTGACAAATCTCAAGACTCTGAGGCCCATTGCTGTCAATTTCGTATTTGGGGTTCAGGCAGTTGTGTCACGTCAGTTGGTTGAGGGAACCCAGGCCACGAACAACAAAAACTTTCCACGTCTAGGCCTTTTTCTGAAAGGCAGGCCCTGGGCCACATCTGCAGCAAGATATACAGAAAGTTGGTAGGCGTAACCGAACAAGGCCCAGTAGCGGCAGCAGAGGCCCAGCTACCTGGGGCCTACCGGAAGCTTCTGGGCGCAGGCCCAGCCCAGCCAAGACGCAGACCAAGCCAGACTCTTTCCATATAGGAAAGAGCTCGCTGCCTGGCAGCCCATTTGGGCATTTGCTAGTTTGCGGCAGCGCTGCTGGAGCGAACGCTCGCGGGCTGCTGTTTGCGCTAGAGCAAGGTGCTGTGCACATGTGGTCGTGTAAGAGAAAGGGCGCTGCTGAGGGCAGCGCCATAGCCCAGCTTCCATAGCTGGCTGGTGCTTGCAGCAAGGTGTAGTGGTGGTCTACGGGTGTACAGAAGGAAGACCTGAGTGAAAGACAAGGGAGAAAGAGAGGAGATGATGATGATGATGATGATGATGATGATGTGAGGGCACATACCTGGTACTGGCAATGGTCTGCATTGGTCGACATCTTCAAGTAGTACTTCGTCGGCTGCTGACGTCAACAGTTGGATTGTAAATTCGTAGGCAGGAACTTGAAGTAGCTGTGTAGGGAGTAGGCTGGGCGCCGAGCGCCAAGTAGGGGGAAGGGCCTGGACTCTTATGTTGGTGATGAAGAGAATAAGCTCTCATTGACATTCGGTTTCAGCGTTTGGATTCTCCGTTGGTGTAACATTGGTGCAATGCTGCGTTCTGGGCACTGTGAGACTTTCTGGCTTTCAATGTGATTGTGCAATCTGGATTCTGTCATCTCGCCTTTGCTCATTCTCCTTGCATTTCTAAATAAATGTAAATAATTGAGTCCCCATTGTCCAGTGTCCACAGAGATCATCACGCAGAAAGAGAAAAGTTGGAAAAACTCTGAAATGCAGAAATAAAAAGAGCAATTTTTCAATAAACTTTAAAAAAGGCGAACGATGGATCCAACCCCAGCCTTGTGCCTGAGCGGTACACACACGTAGCCGTGATTTGGAAAAAACAAAAAAAAAAACAGCTCAACATTCCTGATGGATAGAATAACAGTAGGGGCTAACCCCTTAAATTTCTTGAAAAGGGGGGGGGGGGGGGGGGGGGGGGGGGAGAAGCGGGAATGGTGAATGGATTCAATGGAACCAGAAAAGTTGAGAAAAATGCACAAGGCACAGTGGAAAGTCACATCTGAACACCCAAGCAACCGGCGACCAGGCCTTGTGGCTGAATGGTACACAGTACTACTCACACGTAGCTGTGATAAAAAGAGAGAACAGGAGGAGAGGACAGGAGAGGACAGGAGAGGACAGGACGGGAAAAGAGAGGACAGGAGAGGACAGGAGAGGACAGGAGAGGACAGGAGAGAAGATACGAGGGGACGAGAGGAGAGTACAGGAGAAAGGAGAGGGGAGGAGGGGAGAGTACAGGAGAAAAGAGAGGAGTGGAGAGGAGAGGGGAGGGTACTAGGAAACGAGAGGGGAGAATAGGAGAGGAGAAGAGAGGAGAGAAGAGAGGAGAGAAGAGAGGACAATCCACTTCACCATGGACAATGGTTCATTGAGGTCTCACCATGCTTCTGGCCTGAGATGTGTAACCAACGGCTTGTACTGATGTCATGGGCCTCTGTGGGGGCCTCTGACCTTCCGCCGAGCCTGATATTGAGGGGTGGAGCATGCCCATTCCCAGTTTTCCGCTGGCCTGTGATGATGCACTCAGTGGCGATCTCCCAATCACATTTGCGAGCCGGCTTCTTGAAGTGAATGAAGGGGCAGCATGACCCACCACACCCTGCACTGCCAATAAGACTAAGTTAGTGGGTCCAGACCCTCAAGAAATGAATGCAAATTGAATGCCATACGCAGCTCAAGAAATGTGAGGTATAGTGCTTCGTTCTCCTGCTTTACATGTTCCTTAAGATCCTTTCTTAACCCATTTGATCCCTCCATTTCTCTTTTACTTCAGTAACCCTCTCATCATCCACTCTGATCCAACCCGCCCCACCCCACCGCATCCGCTACCGTCTTCCCCCGAACATAACGCACCCTAAAAATGAATGTATATTAGTTATATTTCCGGCCAGATAGAGCCACAATGAGGGTGCGTTGTGTTCGGGGGAAATCGGTAGCAGTAGGAGGAGAGGGGAGGGGAGGGGAAACCGACCCAGTCAGGAACTGAAGGGTGGAGGACCTGTTCACCAACGTCGAAGACTCTGAGCCGGTCCGGGAGTCAAATCAATTCTGAAGTGAACTTTGAACCGTGCAAAATAGTTGCCCTCCATTCTACCCCTTCATCTGATTCCATCTCATCCATCCAATCACTCCACGGTCTCCACCATCCCTCCCTCCCTCCCTCCCTCCCTCCCTCAACCCATCCACCCATGATCTGAAAAAAAATAGAGAGCACATGTTGATCATAGTGAGGGCTGCCCAGGCAGATAGCAGCCATTGCTACTGGAAAATGGCAGTTGTTAGGGGGTGGGTGACAGAGATGGGGTGAGGAGAGCATCATCAGGCACGTGAGAGAGAGAGAGAGAGAGAGAGAGCATGGATTGCAATCAGTGTAAAAAATGTTAAATTAATTAAATAATAAATACTATAATAGTTTAATACTGAGTTCAGTGAGCTGGGCTACGAACCGAGCAGTCTGGGCCGCCTTGGTTGCCCGGGKGGCCCGGCCAGGGAAGGTCCTGCCCCCCCCCCCAAAAAAAAAAAAAACAGATTAAAAAAAAAACAACTCTGAAGGGAAAAAAAACTATGTTATGCAGAAAAATACACTGTACAGTGTACAAATCACAATGTAGACACTTAGAAAGATGTATTACAGTATAATTTAGACTTTGCTATCACAAGAGAATTATACCTCTCTCAATATAATGTTGCACAACTTTTGCCCCAGGGTCACATAGACAATTCCTTACCCTTTCTTTTTTTTTTGGGGGGGGGGGCGAGAGGGGGGAGGCTGGCCAGGCAAGCGGGCTCAGTGGTAGTGGTAGAAATCACACAAAAAACTTTGACAGAAGTCCTTTAACAATCATGCAATTGCAAAAAAAACACAAGTCGCCGCGAGTACGTCACAACAGTACTACTTAGCAAATCTCTCTTTTTTTTTTTTTTTTTTTTTTTTTGAAAACCAACGACCACTACTACATGGAAATCTCAATTATGATACATCGGATATTCAATAGTTGCACGGGAAGGCGTCCCCGACGCCGTGTTTCGTTTCGACGACCGCCGTCATCTTCCGGGGCGTTCCAATTTCCACCAATCTCCCTCAACCATGCATTACTACTAATCCACGCCCGCTCAAAAAAAAAAAAAAAAAAAAAAAAAAAACCCACGCCCGCTCCCGCTACTACCCACTTCCGATGAATGCATCTGGATGATCAGAGGCGGTACGTAGCATTCGTCCCGAATGAGGAGTCCTACGCCCGCTGCCACAGAATTTGAGTCTGGAATGTAAACAGACGATGGTGGGATCCGCGTGAGATTCCTATCTGGGATGAGCGTGGAATGTAAACAGATTAAAAAAAAAAAAAAAAAAAAAAAAGAATGTAAACAGACGTTGGTGGGATGAGCGTGGAATGTAAACAGAATAGGCTGTGAGGTCAGAACCAGTCAAATGATGCCGCCGTGCAACCTTTTTTTTTTTTTTTTTTTTTTTTTTTTTTGAAAAAAATGCGCCAATCTATTCGTGGGAAGCAGCACGTGCTGGGTTGCGTACAACAATCGAAGGATGAAGTTACAATTTGGTTTGATTCTTCACAAAAAAAAAAGAAAAAAAAAGAAAGAAAAAAAAAGTTGCAATTTGGACGGAGGAGAAGCTCGTTTTTCAAAACGGGCAATCCTATTGGTCATGGGGAAGTAAGCAGCAAAAGAGTACTATCTTTAATAAATAAAAAAAGGAGTGCCATCGTTGGTGGCTGCTTACACCGAATGGATTGGAACACGACAATCAATTCGGTCCGAAAATCCCAATGCGAGTACTGAGAAAGAAGAGAGAACTGCGACTCAAAGGATTCCCCCGAGTGAATCATTCATGATGAGGGTCTTAAAACGCTTGGCCTGCACAAGGGACGACATCTGGGGCCAAGTCCCACTAGCAGCGTTGAGCTACCTCAACGCCTGAATCTGGACGTGTTTGTGGAGACGTGCAGTTGAGGAAACTCAACACTAATTCTGCACATCTCCGCAAAAACATCCAGATTCAGGCGTTGAGGTAGCTCAACGCTGCTAGTGGGACTTGGGCCCTGGAAGAGGAATGTTGACTTTGTAGATTTGCAGATCTAGATATTATGGAAATTGTTTTTCTTTTTTTTTTTAATATGGAAATTGTTGTTGTGTTCATGATTGATGTTCGTCGTCGTTTTTTTTTTGTATTCAAAGCTCGGTGCGTACGTTGCAATGCTGCAACTCCGGGGGCACGGTTCCACTAGCAACCGAGTAAGGTTTATTGTCGCACTCCCTCTCTGTGGTACGTGAGACTCGGACTGCAATCGTCACCCTGAGGCAATAAAGAAAGATGGAAGAAGTGAATCTGGCTACGTTCTGGGAGGGATACATTCATCCACTGTCCATTCTACCCTTCAAGAAGATGGCACAGCCTTTTGCAGCACTTCCAAAGGTCGGGCTCGTCCCCACCTTGGGACTTGAGAAGTCACCACTTTAATTTTCATTTTTCTCTTTTTTTCGTTTTTCTGGAGTTTTCTTCGTTTTTCTGGAGTGCGTCGCACTAGGCCATGACTCGTGTGCTAGTGGAACCGTGCCCCGGGGTCGTCGGTTAGGACAAAATAGCTGGATTTTTTTTTTTTTTTATTGGGGTGATCACAACTGTCTATATTCTTCTGTCATATCTGTTTGTTTACCTTCCACTACCTACTCCTAAGACTATCTAGAGGGGACCCCTGCAAGCATAGTTTTCCTCTCTCTGTGAAGGGGAGATTTCATGTTGCCCCTTGCCCCTAATGGTTAGGGTATAGGGTTGGGGCCGCCAGTGGGGGTCTGGCTAACACAAAGACCGAGACCTGCCAGTAACTGTGCCTCCCTTTATCATCGTCCCCCAATCCCGGTCCCTTGTTGTATAGTTTTACTGCGGATTAAGTAATAACATGCGATGATGATCCGGTTTTTTTTTTTTTTCCACAAACAATACTTGTATTATAACAGTAGTAACTGGATCGGTACATCTGGGCCTCAGTCCTCCTTCGTGTGTGGCCTCAAGAGCCAAGTCTCGTAACCACTACAGCCAAGACACCGTGTTCAAAAGTGGAACCATACCGGCCATGATATCCAACCCACCCCTGCAAGGCTGTAGTGTCCAACTCAACACACACCACACTCAACTCCACAGGGCAATTCACATGCACTTCGCAGTTTTTTTTTTTGTTTTTTAACTACACTATGTTCTTCTCTCAAATTCTTTTTCGCCTTTCGCTATCTTCCTACCACTACTCCTAAGAGGCTCGCCACACAGGCTGTCGAAACTCGAAAAGTTTCGACAGGTGTCAGAAGAAATTTGAGAGTAGGTGGTCGACAGTTTGCCCCCCCTTCGCCACACAGGCTATCGAGGGTTAACGTTTTTGGTCATGGCCAGGCGGATGGGATTCACGGAAGTTGACGGAACAGTCCCTGACAACGCAAATTCGAACGCAATTTTCGAAAGCTCGGCGGGGCACTGTCGAATTTCCGTCACCTGCAGGCGGGAGGAAACGGTTGCTGGAGGGCGGCTGTCGATTTTTTTTTTTTTAACTACACTATGTTCTTCTCTCAAATTCTTTTTCGCCTTTCGCTACCTTCCTACCACTACTCCTAAGAGGCTCGCCACACAGGCTGTCAAAACTCAAAAAGTTTCGACAGGTGTCAGAAGAAATTTGAGAGTAGGTGGTCGACAGTTTGCCCCCCCTTCGCCACACAGGCTATCGAGGGTCAACGTTTTTGGTCATGGCCAGGCGGATGGGATTCACGGAAGTTGACGGAACAGTCCCTGACAACGCAGTCGAAAGTTTTTTGAGCCGCAATTCTTCGAAAGCCTGTGTGGCGATGAAAAATTGTCGAAAATCAGGTTTTCGACAGCCTGTGTGGCGAGCCTCTAAGACTATATAGAGGGGACCCCTGCAAGCTTAGTAGGGCCTCGCAAACAAGGTAATTCATGTTGCCCCCCGCCTCAACAGCGGTAGTCAGAGATGGGGTGGGGCCGCCGGTGGGGTCCGGCTAACGCAACGACCGCACATTTTCCCAGTAGCTGCGCCTCCCTTCCTCATCGTCCCCCACCCCTTATCGAGCAGCATCAGAGGCTATGGCCAACACTCTCCCACACACCACACACAACCCACTCGCGCTCACACTCATAGACGTATGACACAGGCGCTGGTGCGAATAGAGGATAAAATGCTGGTGGCATTGGACAGGGTACTAATTAGCCAGACCCCACTGGCGGCCCCAACCCTATACCCTAAACATTAGGGGCAAGGGGCAACATGAAATCTCCCCTTCACAGTGAGAGGAAATTATGCTTGCAGGGGTCCCCTCTAGATAGCCTTTAAGTTAGGAGCAGGTAGTGAAAGGCAAAAACAGAAGTTGAGAGAAGAATATAGAAAGAGAAAAATATATATATATATGGTATCGTATGAGTACGGACAGATACGTATCTGCGTTTTTTACATATTGGGCACGCGGCCCAGGATCATTTGAATCAACAACCCTGGACAGGCCCAAGGGTAC